ACACAGGAATTACTTGCACGCATGCAGCATGTAGTCTGTAGTAGCAGCAGTTCGGCCGAGTGGTGGTGGAGGATGAGGAGGAAACGTGAGGGAAGATGGCGCCGCTAGAACGAGTACTTATCGCAAGAACGCAAAGAGAATATGGGAGGCAGGCCAGCTTCCAAGCCGCGGTACCTTTGAACGCTCGCGGTGTATGCCCATGTCAATGTTTCCTTTCGGGGGTAAAGGGCGTCGCCGAGTGCGATGGGAAAACTCTTCGCAAGGCTGTGGAAGGGAAAGCCAAATATTTATTGATCTGCTCCATGAAGTGGAAGATCTTGAGCCCTGGTTCTATCTTAGGCTGGTGAGCTTCGTCGGGTAGACGCTGCGTGTTGGTTTGTGCCCAGTCCGGCGACTTGCTCAGCAAAGCGGCGATGTCATGCGAGACCGGGTACAAAGCTGCACAGCTGTACATATTCGGGTGCGCACACCTTGGCAAATAGACGTGGCTTGCGGACGCGCTACTCTCCCTCGGCGATGAGGGCACACTTGCCAGCTCAGTTGTGAAAGATGTTGTTCGTGGGGGCGACAGTTTTTGGACCCTTCAACACCATCTCAGCAGGCCGGGACCCTGGGCACAGGCAGGGATCACCAGCCACCTTTGTGGATTTCGAAAATCGGGAATATGATGTCGCACGGGAGGTGTAACAGTCCCCGTTCTGAGTTGCAATTGTGTATGTGTTGGTTACAGCTGCATTTGTTTAGAACTCCATGCGGCATGATGTTGGTGTACGGACATGTGCCGTACCATGCCGTCATACATGCAAGAGCGATTGATGTGAATATATTGTCGCAAGCGTGATTATTCGGTCTGCCGTTCTTGTGGTATGCATGACGCTCAATTTTTCTCCTACGCAGGAGTCTTTGACCGATCATGCTGACATGTACCTTGGTCCGCACGCTTGAATGACGCTGGGGGCATCCGTGCGTCAAGACGGGATGTCATCAACCTCTTGCGCCAGGTAAGAGCACACAACGGTAACCGCCGCAATAGCTTGCAGTCTGATCCGATTCGACTCTGCAGCATCTCATTTAGAGGACACCTTCAGGGACGCAACAAAAGGGGGTCGTCTGCGCCGACATTGGCGCGTAAACTGCTCGCAGAAGGTCGCAATTAAGTGCCTTCGTTTCCAATGTGGCATGCCACGCTGGCGGCCCGCGTGAGCCACCGCGTGAGGGCGCTATGTCATCTCGCGTAAGACCCGTTTTGGATCGTCGCTCACCTGGCCCTCGCGTAGCCAGCCGCGATGTCGACCTCATTGGGCCACACGAGTGAGCCCATGTGAGGAGCCGCCGCGACGTGTCCAGCGCATCGTCCGACGCCCCAGGCCGAGCTCGTGCAAGCGGATGTGCAGCGTGCCGCTCGTGCATATTCGCTACTTGCTTTGAACAGAGTTGTTTTGTGTTGTTGTTTTTTTACTGCCGTGCTCAGATGGAGCGTTCCAAACGGGGCCTTGCCTTCCAGGGTCGAAGGCCTTGCCTTCCTCGGCAGAAGGCGGCGGAAAGCGGCAGCAGAAAAAAGGGGCCAACACGGTCGGTGGAAGCCGGCGGAAGGCCAGCTGGAGGTGGCGGAAGCAAAAGTCGATTTCCCAAGAGATGCAACAGTTTTGGGTTCAGGGTTTTTGGAATCCGGCAGGAGGCGCCGATAATTCTTGCATGTTGCGCCGAACTATCCGCTGCCCTGGAGCCGGGGGTTCTTTGCCTGATGGCGCGGTGCTTGTAATCTCTGCCTGCTCCACCAGGCCATCCGCCGCCAATGGGGCCACGGGCGCTGTGGCCGATGATGCCTCATCCTGCGAGCTGGTCGCGATTGCGTGCCTTTCCATGCACAGGCGCGCACGTGCTGTGCCCCGTCTCACTGAGCTTCGCAAGGGTCAGTACAGCATGTTCGGGCATGTGGCCTCGACACCCGCCCAAGCTACCAGCAGAGCGGCGGACCCCGCCGCTCGAGCTTCAAGCCTCCCTCTCCCCCTCCACCGTATACACGTGAGAACGACCCTTCGCTGGAGTGACCTCTTGTGCGCAGCTTTTGGGGAGGCGCGGGGAGCCCACACCGAAGCACGCAGACTGCCACCGCGGCTTCGCACACAGTCTTGCCTGGGGTCACTCCTGCGTGTAGACGGCTCCAGCCCTATTCTGGGCCTCCCGGGTGGGGTCCGCGCAGATGGGATCGGAGGGTCGCGCCGCATCGCCGATGCGTCGGCGATGCGGTTCGATGTGGAGACCGATTTTCTCCATGCCGACGGCGCCGATGCAACGCCCACGTCGCTGGTGCATCGCCGGTGCATCGGCGATGCATCGCCGATGCATCCGCGATGCGGCGCGATCCTCTGACCCCATCTACTCCGACCCCGTCTGGGAGGCCTCTACCTCCCACCACCACCCGCCCCAAGCAGTGCCCTGCCCCCTTCGGCGGCCCGACGGCGGCACCGCAGCGCGCGCGCGCGCTCCGCAGCCAGCCCCCCCCCTCCGTCGGCGCGGGCTGCGGCGCGTCCCCGCGCATCCCGCGCAGGAGGCTTGCTGGCTGGGCCTTGGGGGACTCATCTCGAGCAGGAGGTGGTTGAAGGGGGGGGGGCGATGCGGAGGAGGCGGAGGAGCAGGAGGCCCTCCTCCTCCTCCTCCTCCTCCTCCGCCTCTTCCTCCTCATCCTCCACCTCCTCATCCTCTTCCCCCTTATTATTATCGTTCACTTCCTCCTCGTCCTCCTCGTCCTCCTTCTCGTCATCGTCATCGTTATCGTCGTCATCATCATCACCATCACCATCAGCATGATCATCATAATCATCCTAATCAGCATCATAAGCATCATCAGCAGCATCATCATCATCATCATCAGCATCGTCATCGTCATCGTCATCATCGCCAGCAGCCGCATCATCGTCAGCAGCTGCATCAGCCTCATCACCAGCATCAGCAGCATCATAATCAACAATATCGTCATCCTCATCAGCAGCATGATCATAATCACCATCACCCGCTTATCATCATTATCATCATCATCCTTCTCCTCATCGTCATCGTCATCATCCTCGTCATCATCACATTCATCATCCACATCAGCATAATCAGCATAATCAGCATCATACTCATCCACATCATCAGCTTAATCTTCAGGCTCATCTGCATCCTCATCATCGTCATCATCTCCATATCCACAGTCATCTTTATCATTCTGACGATCGTCGTCATCATCATCATCATCATCATCACCGCCATCATAATTGACAGTATCATCGTCATCGACGTCGTCTACCTCATCATCAGCATCGCCAACAACAACGTCAGCATCAACACGGATATCAACATCAACATCAACAAATTCATATTCATCATCCTCATCATCCTCATCATCCTAGGCCCAGCAGTGCATCAATTTCCATCCAGCCTACTGCCGAAGCACGCCGGGGGGATGGATCTCGAGGTGCACAGGGCCGTTCTGGACGCGGGGGGGACGGAGAGCGGCTGCACGGCACCTCGTGACCGCGGAGGTGGACGGCGGCCCCGTGGTCGTGCAGAGGGTGATCCCCGTGGTGGCCGGCGACACTCCCGAGTCCCTCAAGGCGGCGGTCCAGGCCAAGGAGGTGCCCGCGCTGGTGGAGGCCGTGAGCGCATTCGGCGAGCGCAGGGCGCCCTTCGGGTGGCCTTGCGGACGTGCTTCCCCCATCCCCCCCCGCCCTCTGGGGTTCGAAGAGGAAGAAGAAGAGGAAGAAGAAGAAGAAGGCAAAATGGTATAAGCACCGACTTTCGGAGGCCCGCGCGGGCATCTAGGATCGGCGGAGAATGTGAGCCTAGGACATCTAGGAGCAGTGCAGGGGTGGCTGCCATTTGTTCCAAGTTGAGGCACGCTGTCATCCAGAGGTCCTGTGCACTCCTGGCCTCGTGAACTCTTGACCTCCTCGTGGCTGCCCAGAGGCCTGCTGCAGCTCTGAAGTCTGGAGCCTCCTGCGCCACTCCGCAAGGATTGTGGTACGCACTGATGTGTAACAACGCCTGCCCCCGCTTTCCCTTCTGGGGTTGGGGCGCTGGGGCGGGGGCTCGTCCTCGCCACGCTTGGGCTCGACTCGAGCTGCAGGGAGCGGTTGATTATGTCGAAAAGGCTCGGGTCGTGAACCTGATCAGGCGCCCTCTCGCCACTGCTTACCACCCGCGATGTTGTTGATTGGCCTGCAATCTCAGATCACATCAGTCACCATCGCAGCATCATCGCACCGCCGTGTCGCAATCATCTCCAGTGCTGCCGCATGAGAATCGTACCGTGAGTGTCCAGCGCCGCTACTAAACAGCAGCCGTATTGCCAATGCAATGCTACACAATACATGCAGCTCCATGCGTCACCATGAACAATTGCAAACATGGCTTGGTTCAGTCGCGGTTTCGCACGTATCGATTGTGTCCGATATTCTGATATTGCCGTACCCGTTCTCATTCGGTTCGTTCGTCCCCCTCTCCGCCCTTCTCGTATCAATTTCGCCAGCTGCCATCAGCAGTAGCATCATCATCTCGAGATACGTTCGATCATTACAGGCATCGCCGCCTGCTTTGATTGATTCGCCGTGTCGTCGTTGCCGTCACGCCATCATGGCATCACGTTTGTCTTCGATTCTACCAGCATCTGCAGCATCGTCATATCACAGTAGCCGTAGTGTCTACCACGCAATCCCCTCATAAGCACCATCCCCACGAAATCCGGTACAGCCGAGGCTGACTAGTAGGACGACCCTGCGAAATCAAAGGTGCCCGTGTGTCCTGTTGTTCGCGGCCCATGCTTTGTACATTTTTGTGGCAGTGTGGCCCTTGGAAGGGGCCTGTGTACTCCCTCGCATCCTCTCCAATCAGTCTCGACTGTATGCCATCGATATCGCTACCCAGACCAACGTCTCACCATCTATATCGTCTGCATCACCGCTTGCCCCATCTCGTCACCGTCGCGTGCCCGCAACCGCTCTGGCCCAACCACTCGCGCGAGCGCACCCGGTGCTTCCCCGTCGCCCAACGCAGAGCGAAGCGCGCCGCTTCGGGGAGGCGTCAACGGCCCACCTCACCGACCTTCGAGGGGGGAGATATCGCCGCAAGCACAAGTAAGCGCCAGTCTCCTTGAGAAGATTGAGAGGGAGGGGGGGAGGAGAACCCCGGAGAGATACAAAGGCATGCGACATCCTGGAATGTGTGCCGATGTGTCTGTGTCCCCCTGGGCCCATTTACTTAACCTTGGCCGGGCCCAGCCCAGGCCCAGCCTTCCTGGCTCGGCCAGGCAGGCACTTGCACCGATCCATGTCCCAGCAGCAAGCCCAGTCAGGATCGGTGGGGCAGATCCTTCTCATCCGACCTTGCAATTGTTCCCAACCATTTTGTGGCGTTGGGTCCTCGTTTGAAGAGACAGCGCCCCGCGATCCCTCCTCTCCTCCTCTTCCCCCTCCTCCCTCCTCCAATCCGCACGTCCATTCCGCACGTCCATTCCGGCATACCCCTCACGCGCTTCGTGGCCACACACGTAGCTCCGCCGAAGGCCTCAGTGGCAGGGCCCTCCATGGCACCACCGCACCCGTTTCGGCACACCCCTCACACGTTTCGTGCCCCATAGGGAGCTCCACCAGAGGCCCCAGATGCAGCGCCCGCATGGCACCACTGCACCCTTGTCGGCACACCCCTCACACGTTTCGTGGCCCCATAGGGAGGTCCACCTACGGCCTCAGAGGCAGCGCCCGCATGGCACCGCCGCCTCCATTTTCGGCATACCCCTCACGCAGGTCGTGGCCCCATATGTAGCTCCACCGAAGGCCACAGTGGCAGCGCCCGCATGGCACCACCGCACATTTCGGCACACCCCTCACACGTTTCGTGCCACATACGTAGGTCCACCGAAGGCCCCAAAGGCAGCGCCTGCATGGCACCACCGCGCCCGTTTCGGCACCCCCCCGCAGGGAACCACCGCACCCGTTTCGGCACACACACACACACACCTCACATGTTTCGTGCGCCATAGGGATCTCCACCGAAGGCCACAGTGGCAGCGCCCGCATGGCACCACCGAACGCACATCCCTCACACGTTTCGTGCCCCACAGCGAGCTCCACCCAAGGCCCCAGTGGCAGCGGCCGCATGGCACCACTGCTTTCCTTTCGGCAGACCACTCACACGCTTCGTGGCCCCATAGGGAGCTCCACCTACGGCCCCAGAGGCAGCGCCCGCATGGCACCACCGCACCCGTTTTTGCACACCCATCACACGCTTCGTGGCCCCATAGGGAGCTCCAGCGGAGGCCCCAGTGGCAGTGCACGCATGGCACCACCGCGCCTTTTTCGGCTCACCCATAACACGTTTCGGGCCCCATAAGGAGCTCCACCTACGGCCTCAGTGGCAGCGCCCGCATGGCACCGCCGCGCACGTTTCGGCACACCCCTCACACGTTTCGTGGACCCACAGGGAGGTCCACCGAAGAGGATGCGCACCACCGCGGTATTCACAACTGTATATGGTTGGGTCATTCGCCAGGCCACAGTGGCACAGCGGCAAGGTTCGCATGGCACCGCCGCCTCCATTTTCGGCACACCCTTCACACGTTTCGTGGCCCCACAGAAGGCTCCGCCGAAGGCCTCAGTGACAGAGTTCGCATGACACCACCGCCTCCATTTCGGCACACCCCTCACACTCTTTGTGGCACCATAGGGAGCTCTGCCGAAGGCTTCAGTGGCAGGGCCCGCATGGCACCGCCGCACCCGTTTCGGCACACCCCTCACATGTTTCGTGGCCCCATAGGGAGCTCCACCAGAGGCCCCAGTGGCAGGGTTCGCATGGCACCGCCGCCCCCAGTTTCGGCACACCCCTCACACGTTTCGTGGCCCCGCAGGGAGCTCCACCGAAGGCCACAGTGGCAGGGTTCGCATGGCACCGCCGCCTCCATTTTCGGCACACCCCTCACGCGTTTCGTGGCCCCAGAGGGAGCTCCGCGGAAAGCGGTGCCCCGAACGAGGCACCAGCAACTGCATAATTATGGTTGGGCCCTGGGCCCTTCGCCAGGATAATTTCCTAACGTCGGCCCCTGGGGATCTCGACCACCTCCTTGGGGCCGGCGTATCATCCTGTGAACATTTTTTTGCCGGCTCTGAGGCCGCGAAATTGCTTCCAGGGACCGGGAGCTCGGAAAAATTTGCCGCGTTGCGATTTTTGCGCGACGCTCGGATCTAAAGGATTGCTGGCCCCCCCCCGACAGTTTCTCCAGCCGCGCACCTTCCCGCCATGGCCGCCAGCAGGATCCTCTTGGCGTGCTGCCTGCTAGCGCTTGCCCCGCACGTGGCGGTCGCGGCGCGCCACCGCCGTGGCGCGGGCCGCGAGAACGCTACGCTCGGGCTCGCCGGCGGCTGGGAGCCGGAGCCGTGCGGGGAGTTGCCAGAGGCCAATGGGGATGATGCGTGGTTCGAGCATGGGGCCCTGTCGGACGGGGCCAGGACGATAATAGATCCGTTCCAGAGCGACCCAGAACGCTCTCAGAGCGTTCGCTCTCAGAGCGTTCTGGAACGCTCTGAGAAGGCCGCGGCGCCCGAGACATCCTCCAGAGCCGCCAGATCTCAGAGATTCTCAATTTATCCTCACCCGATGTTGTCCTCGTCCTGGCTTCGTCTTACCCTGAGGGACGGTCCCCAGACATCTGGCGCCTCGAAAGAATCGAAACGGGGGTGATTCATCGTTTTCGGCCCCTGGGGGCCCTCGCCAGGCCCCAGAACCGCCAAACATCAGTTCGGGATGAAAATCTGGTCCCGAAATTTCTAGGGGTCGAAATTATGAAAACATTATGACATCGGGGATCTGAGCAAGGGGAGGATGGGTTCAGGGAGGGTGCATCGACCCCGAACCGAACCGCACATTCATCGCCCACAGGGGCGGTTGCCAAGTCAGGGGCAACGTTAGGGGATGGCTCGGCTCAGGGCTGGGGCGGTTTCGGGTGTTTTGCTCTCCAGCCTCGGGATGCTCTCCATCAGCTGCGACTCGCCGAGAGCGTTCTGGGGGGGCCCCAGCAAGCCGTCCCGAACGGCCGCCGGAAGCCAGGGTTACGACCGGGGGGAGGAGCGCATGGATCCCCAACCGCCCATTGGTTGCCGAGAGGCCCAATAGCTCACCCCGCCCAGGAGCATCAGATTTTGCTTTCTGGGGCGTATCGCCGATCTTTCGGCGATATCGATATCGACACACACACACACACGCACACACACACACACACACACACACACACACACACACACACACACACACACACACACACACACACACACACACACACACACACACACACACACACACACACACACACACACACACACACACACACACACACACACACACACACACACACACACACACATTTTTTACATGCTATATATATGTACACACATATTCCTCTTCCTATATTTTTACAAGCCCGGGCGGCCGCAAAACCCCGCACCCCCCCCCCCCCCCAAACCGGACTCCTGGGATCCTGGGACTTTGGGACCCTCCGGACGCCCATTGAAGCGGTCCCGAGTGCCTCAAGAGCGCTCCAAGACAGGCACAAAGCGCTCCAAGACGCCAAAGATAGCCCCAAGACAGCCTCAGGAGCCCCCAAGACGCCCCAAGCGGCCCCAAAGAAGCCCCTCAAGACGGCCCCGGGAGGCCGAAATGGTAAATTTTCCAATGTGTTTTTCTATGTTTTCTGCTTTCTCGCCATTTTAGCTTTCCGACGCTCCAAGACAGAACTAGAGGCCCTCAAGAGCGCCCCAAGATGGCCCGGGGGGGCCCCAAAACGGCCCCAACACGGCCCCAAGACGGCTCTGGAGCGCCCCGAAACAGCCCAAGAGGCGCCCAAGAAGGCCCAAGAGGGCCCCGAGAAAGCTTCAAACGAGCCCCCACAGGGCGATCAAAAGTTCAAACATCTAACTTTCCGCCCCAAGTGGGCCCCAGGAGGCCCCAGGAGGGCCCCAAGAGGCCCCAAGAGGCTTCCAAAGGCCCCGAGGACTCCCAAAAAGAACCCACGAGGCCCCAAAATGGCTCTCCAAAAGGCAGCCAAAACGGCCCCCCAAGAGGCTTCAAAACTGCTGAATCGCCCCACTTGACCGCCACCTCCGGAACGGCTTCGCTGCGCTGCTCCGTTGTTTGCCAGACAGTGGCATCCCACGCAAAACACCAAAATGCTTGAAATCCCGGGTTCGCAACCAAATTCCCGGGAAATCGGCTGCGAACCCGGGATTCGGCACATTTCCCCGGAATTCGGTAGATGTCCTTAGCATTTCCAGGATCCGGTACGTTGCCTGCATGCTTGCTGCCCTATGCCCTATCGCATCCCAGAATAATCGTTCCATGGAGGTTTCACGAGGGCCCTTCCAAGTCATTAAGGAAGCACCCGCCCATCCAGGGCATCTCCGTTTGTCTCACCCCCATGCGCAAGTCGAGACAGCACGCCGCCCCAATGCGTGCCTTACCTTACCTTACCTCATGATATTCCTCCCTTCGCCGCGCCTCCCCAAATCGTCCTCCACTTCTTTCCCGCCCCTTCTGTCCGACGTTTTGTATTTCCGGAGCCTCCACGGCCGCTCTCATCGCCGCTGATCGGTCCGCTGGGACATTCTCATGGAGTCCCAGTGGCGCGCGGACCAGCAGAGCGAGGGCGCGAGCAAGTAAGGTGCAGGTCCGGGAACTGGGCGCGAACCAACCGCAGTTCAAAGACCGTGGAGGGCCGCGCTAGACGCCAACGCGCGCAAGGGTTGAAGGACCAAGGTGCATGGCGCGAAGCGCCAATGCAGTCTTGTATATATATATATATATATATATGTGTGTGTATAAATGCAGACACATGTATTTCCGATTCCAGCTCGATGTTTCCCCCCTGAGGCTAGGGGTGAGGGTCGGCTGTTCGAGGATGGGCCCCCCTGAGGCCCTGACATCTTCTCGTCGCCGACAAAAGCACGGCGGAGGATATTTTGCCAGTTTTCGATCTCTGGGGGCCTTTGCGGGACCCGGGAGCCGTCCAGCAACGGCGCAGGATGAAGAGCCGGTCCCTGGGAAGATGTCCAGACCTTTGGGGGGGCAACGTGGCACAAAAATCACGATGTCGGACGACTCGGGAGGGATAAGGCCCTGAGGATAGGAAGTGGCTTCCTGGCTGAGTCTGCCAGGTCGCCTGCGGCGGCGCGAAGAAAATATCGCGGTTCGCGCATCTCGGGCTGGGTCAGAGCGGTTGCCTTTCCTCAAGCGTCGAGGGGGCAGCACGGGGGCGCGAAGAGAATCGTGTGTCTCGCATCGCGGGGCGTAATGCGCGAAGTTGGGAGACATAGACTTGCACTGATCGAGGCCTCGTTGCTATAGAGCCTCACGTCTCGGGGCCTCATCTTTGAGGCGGGCGCCGAGGAGGAGGGCGGGAGAGGAGGGGAGGGTGAGGGGAAGAGGGGGATAACGAGGAGGAGGGACGATCAACCAAGGTGAAGGATGAGGGGGGACGATCAAGGGGAGGAGGGAGCAGGGGGGGGGGGGAAGGAGGAGGACGGGAATGGAGAGAGGGGAGAGGGATGCAGAGGAGACGGATGAAGGAGCAGGACGAGCAGGAGGAGGAGGAGGAGGAAGAGGAGGAGGAGGAGGAGGGGGAGGAGGAGAAGCTACCCGAGGGCGTGCCGTGCCGCGCGCTGTACGAGCACCCAGCGGGCTCCGAGTTCGTCGGCCCGTGTCCGGTCGCCACGGGTCCAGAACCAAGGCCCCCAGTCCAGCGGTCACAGCACCTGCCCGCGCCTCTCACCGCCGCCGTCGTCGTCGTCGTCGTCGTCGTGCTCCTCCGTAGCCATTGTGGCTCAAGCCTCATCAGGGAGCTGTATCTCATCCATCCTCGCACATCAGTTTTTCGCTGTTTCACCGCCACTCATTTTGTGCTGGCCCACACCGACACTTGTCACCACGGATGCTCGCGGTTTCCTCGGCCGCTCCCGTCTCTCCAGGCTTTGGCCTAGGCGGTGGAGCTGCCGCTGCCGCAGCTGCTGCTCCTGCTTCGCCTGGGCACCGACGTGTGAAGGCAAGGACGACCCCTGGAGAGGAGGATGATAAGATTGAGGATATCATGAGCGACGGCGATACTGACCCAGGTGACGTCTCCGCAGTTCTCGCACAGCCAGCACCCGTGCCAGAAGGACTTGAGAACGGCATGGAGACACGATTGTTCAGAGCACTGACTAATGATTTTCGTAGTACCTTAGCCCAGAGTGTACTCCCCTTGGGGAAAGAAGTGAAGAAAGTTGCCAACAAAGTTAAGAACACCGGCAAGACCGTGGCCGCCATGAAGACCGATTTAGTGAACCTGACCGCCCGTGTCACCGTCATTGAGAACGGAGGAGGAGGAGGTGGAACAGGTAACGCTGGCCGTGGACAGGCTGCTGGCAGTGTTGCTGGATCGACATCTGATTTTTCCCCTGCCCCACCCACCGTCAGACCTCCAGTCAATAAGCGGCAGATCCTGTGTGTTGGAGGTTACCAGTACACAGAGGGGCTGGAGCTCGCCAGTGACCTTAAGCAGATCCTCGCCGACAGCCACATCATGGGGGTGAAGAAGGTCTTTCCTGTAGGCACCTACGCGGACCGTGTCAAGATAGAGTTCGAGACGAGCCAGAAGATGTGGGATTGCCTGGTTGCGATGAAGGGCAAGAAGTTCGCTTCCACGTTCGCGCACGAGAACAGGCCACGGGATGTGCGGGACCCCACCAAGAGGCAGTTGTGGTACACGAGCGACAAATATCCAGAGGAGTTGACCTGCCAGAACCGAGCCACACACGCCAAAGATCTTCTCAAAGCAGCTATCAGCAAGAAGTGGCCAATTCTCTCAGAACCCGAGCTGATGCAGATGATTGACGCATCTAAGGATATGGGCTCAGTAGTGCTGCTCCGCAAGTTTCTGCCCGCCGACGTCTTTCCGAGGAATCCGTTGAAGATCCTGAGGCGGAACTTCCCCACCTACAACCTGAAGGTGATGCCTGATGCTCAGGAATGGTTGAGGACGCAGGGAGTGGAGATAGACATTTCCCAGCACCTGGACGAGATCAATGACCCGCCCCGTCGAGGCGGCTCCTGACTAGCTTCAGGAATGAATATGCGCCTTCCATCTAGCGGCGACACTATTATCATCAGCTGGAACTGCAGGGGAGTTTTGATGCGTAGTGCCGCGAGGGGGCTAGAACTCATGGAGGCCGATTTCCATTGGGATATTGCATGTCTTCAAGAATTCACTGATGCGCTGAAAGTCTGCGAGGAGATAGCTGGCCATCGCTTGATCCTAGGGCCCCCTGTACGTAGGCGGAAAAGGAGACCAGCGATCATAGTGTATGAGACGCTGAAGGCTTGCATCATCTTCGACCCCGCCAGTCTGGGGAACAGCATCGCCGTGGGCACCGTCACCCCTCACGGCGGAAACCTTTGGATAGTTTGCTCGCGCTCTGACGCCGATGCCAATCATCATAGTCAATACTACGCGGACATCGCCGACTGCGAACTGCTGCTTGGGAGGTGCTCACCACACTTCACGCCCATGTTGTGCGTTGACGCCAATGCATCTTTCGAGCGCGACTTCAGACCATCCTCGACCGTCGGCCCTTACACTGCTGGTACTAAGAGCTGGAAGTCTGATGCATTTTACGAGTTCATAGTCAGCAACAAATTGATCTTGAGTAACACATGGGGCAAGCCTTTGACGGGGTCATGCACTTGTTTCTACGACGGCAAGTTCGAACCCAGGCAGATAGGCTTCGTGGCCATCGGCAGAGGGCCCTCTCGCGTCCCCTACGACTGCCAGGCTCGCTGCTGCCCCGCTTGGAAGAGTGATCACTGCCCTCTAGTTTTCAGGTTCTTTGCCGCGAGGAAACCGGTGCCGCAGTTTTTGCCGAATATTGAGTGCAGTTTAAAGACCGAGCCTGTTGGCTGGAGATTGCTCGACCACACCTTCGCTAGGAAGGTTGAGGATCAACTCGGAATCGAAGCTCGCCTTGGGGCCGAATTTAGTTTAGATGACGTGCGCTTTCGTTTGTACGGCGATGGCCACTTTAAACAGTACTGTAAACATCGTCGGACTTGCGGCTTGGGTTTTTCGGGCCTCAGCGACCCCCTAGGCATTCCCGACAACTCTAGGGCCCCAGGGGCCCAGGTCGATCCGTTTTTCCAAAGCCGTGGACTTGTCTTTCTGGATCCCCTTCAGGAGGGTTTCTCAGGGGCTCTCAGGCAGACCAACAACACCGCGGAGCTGACCGCGGCTATCGAGATGGGACTCTGGCTGTTGGGGCAGCACCTACCGACAGGCGCGGCTTCGATTCCGAGAGGCTCGGTCCTGGAAGCCGTCTCCGATTCGACTTGCGTTTTGGGAATACTGCATTACAAGTTCAGACCCAGACATAATGCTGTTCTAGCCTTATTACTCCAGCACGTCTGGGAGGCCGCTCAGAAGGAATACGTGGTCTTCTTGTCCTGGATTAAAGGGCATTCTGGGTGCAGGGGAAATGAAATCGCTGATCGTTTGGCGGAAGCTGGAGGTCAACCTCTCCCTGGTAAAATGGAACAACATAAATGGCCCCGCGCCCGGCCGTGCCCCATCCCATCCCTGAATGCCGAGAAGTTTTGCTCCATCCTCAACAACTCGGATATTCCTCTATCGGAACAACATCACCTCTATCTTCAGTGTGCGGCCCAGCAGGAGCCAATACTTTTTCACAGGCCGCGGGGGGACTTGCTTGATCGGCCGCGTAAGACTCAGCTGATTACACTTGATAGTGACGCAAAGGATGTCCCACCGTCGGCCTCGGAGGTCACCCGTGTCGATCGCCAAGGTTTTCCTGTTCCCTCCCTGGGCTCTTCCACCGCCCTGGTGGGCACGATCGCCTCGACTTGTGGCAAGAAAATTCCCGTGGGACCCCCGAGCGTTCCCACGGATCATCCTCTGAGTTGCAGGATCCAGCAGCATTTGCAAGCGCGGAACACCGAGCAGGACCCGACTCTCAGACAGGCCATGAGCTTGCAGCTGGTCCCGCTGATGCGCCAGCTTGCCTTTTTAAAGCAAGATATTCGTGCTGCCTATTTCGTGCAGCATCGTAAAGTCGATCGTTTCCGTGGACAGAATAAGGTGAAGGCACTGAAGGTGGGAGGAGGAGACGAGAACATCACGACTGATGAGGACGAGATGAGGGAAGAGGCGGCTCGGTTTTATGAGAGTCTATTTAAGGATCCGGCGGATGCTAGTCTTCCCAGATGGATTTGGACACACTGGGGCCCCGAGGCTTTGGAGGAGTTGCCCAGGCGCCTGGACGCCCAGTTGATCAGGAAGTGTTTATCTCGCCTCAAGCCAGGAAAGACCTGCTCCAGAGATGATTGCATCGTCATGGAAATGTTGAAAGAACTTAGCACCGAAACCCTGAACTTACTAGCTGAATTATATGTACTCCGTTTGCGTAATCCGATATTCAATAGACACCAGGTCACGTTGTTAGCCAAATTCTATGGAGCTTGCAGGGTCAAGGATTTCCGCCCGATCGCTCTGCTGTCTTGCGTGCTTAAGCAGTATTCCATGTGCCTGAGCGAGCTGATAGAGCTCGATCAGATGCCCTTATCGAAGCTCCAGCTTGCGTTCCGCAAGAGCTACCAGGTGCGCGAGATCGTAGCCACAACCCGCTTGCTGATTGAAAGAGCCGTGGGATTCCGTGAACCCTTGTTCTTGGGGGTGGACGACTTACACAAAGCTTATGATCATGGACGCCATCACCATATCATCCGCAATCATCGGGAACGTAAGATCCCCAGAATCATCACAGCGGCGTGGATGCGAGAAATACGCAGTGGGCGGTCTGAATTTCTCTTGCCTGGGGTGGCACCCACGCGGCAGGTTTCTCGCACGCGATCCCTGCTCCAGGGGGACCTTGAGGCACCCAGGCTTTTCAACCTCTTCCTGGACGATCCGATCTCCGAGTTTGAAATT